CGGTGATTGGTCTGTTTAGGCCGTCTTCATTCTGAGGGATGGCCAAACAGGGACTCGGTTTTTAGTTCCCTGATTTGGATGTCTCGGAAATGAGCTATATATAAATACTAAGTACGCAGCCCTGGCGGTCTGGAACTCGCTCTGGAGACCAGGCTGGCCTCGAACTCGCAGAGATCCGCCTGCCTCTGCCTCCAGGGTGCTGGGATTAAAGGCGTGCGCCACCATCACTTTTTATTACATGTGTTTTACAAAGCCATCCTGTAGACAACAGTGTTCCTGGTTTTCAGATGTGAAAACTGAGGCCCCGCGGTTAAGTGCCGCATCCAGCCTCCAGCCTCCAGCCTCCAAAGCAAAGACCGCATGGAAAAAGGAAAAGGCTGGGAAGGAGGATGACAGGACTTAAGTGACTGCGCCCGGCTGTGTGGCACACACTCGGGAGGCAGAGGCAGGAGGATTTCTGTGAGTTCGAGACCAGCCTGGTCTAGAGAGTGAGTTTCAGGATAGCCAGGGATACACAGAGAAACCATGTCTCAAAAATAAATAAATAAATAAAAATAAACCATTGGCTTTTCATAGATTGCCACCCCAAAGTTGTTCAGGGTGACAGGAGCAACAAGGAAGGGTCAAGAGGTACAGAGGGAGGACAAGACAGAGGTGGGATGAATAAACTAGTATTATTAGGGCTGGAGGTAAAGTGCCTGTTGCACAAGTACCTGAGGTTAGATCCCCAACATCCATGGAAATGCCAGGCGGGTATGCACCTATGACCTCCCTGGGGAAGCAGAGACCTAAGGATCCATGGAGCTGGCTGGCCAACCTGTATAGCACAACACAGCTTGCTCCAAGTTCAGTGAGCCACAAGGAAAATGTATGTTTTATATTAAACATCCCATAATTAACAACAAAGAAGTAGGGAAATATTTACATCATCTCTTCAGTTCTACGATGCATCCTCCCTCCCACCTGCCCACTTCCTGCACAGCAAGGCAAAAACAAAGCAAACGTAAACCAGAACAACCTTCAGTTCCCAAGAAAACTGAGCAAAAGATATTACAGAAATCTGAGCCCTTGGCATGCAGCAGACTTATACACCAAACAGAACTGGGGATAAGAGTTCATGGGGAACTCTCCCATCAAAGGCTAGATAAATAAAAGTGACTTTTTAATTATTATTTATTTTGTGTGTATGTGTGTATCTGGTGTGTGTATGTGCCCTGTGTCTATGGGCACTCATGAGCCCGCAGAGGCCAGAACAGTTTATCTGATCCCCTAGAACTGGAGTTACCTGCAGTTTTGAGCTGGAATGTGTACACTAGGAATAGAATCCAGGCCCTCTGCAAAAACAGTAAGTGCTTTTAACACCTGAGCCATCTCTCCATCCCCAAGAGCGATAGTCTCTTAGGCTGGGGATATGGCTCAAAGGATAAATGCTTCTGCTGCCAAGCCTAATTAGCTGAGTTCAATCAGGGATCTACACAGCAGAAGAGAATAACAGACACCCGCAAGATCTACACACACACACACACACACACACACACACACACACACACACCAGAGGCAGGGGCTATAGCTCATAGTGGTAGAGCACTTGCCCAGCATTTTAGAAGCTCACACTGAAACATCAAAGCAGCTAGCTCCCACAGCCTGACATCATAGGTGCTTTTTATCTTTTTTTTTTTTAAGTGTTTGAAGTGTTTTGAAACATCTTTAAAGTTTTGGCATCTTCAATGTGTTCTACAACTGTGTTGTGTTATATTAAGGCAAGCTACATTGACTTAAAAGTCCAGGGTCAAGTCAGGCCCTCAGCTCAGTGCCATGTGCGGTCCTCTCTGACCCACATTCTGATCCATGTGTTGTGTGAGCCAACTTGTCAGCCTTGCTGTATTTGTAAGTTTGGATGAGGTGATGGTGAGCCTGAGTCACTCCTCATGCATCAGTAGGCCTTCAGGGGGTTTCTCCCCAGAGCTTTTGGGGGTCATCCCAGCAGGCTACCGCATAGACACTCCTGTCCCTTCCTCCTCCTCCTTTCCCTCGTCCCTTCCTTCCCCCTCCTCCTTGGGCAGGGTTTATCTCAGGCTTCCTTTCAGCTACCTTCCCTTGGGAAGCACATAACAGCATCCTTGTGCTTAGATATGTCTGTCTTTCTGAGTGCCTCTATTTCTCCCTTAATCCTCATGGCTTAAGGCATTAAAAATATCTTCATAAAAATCTCCAACTCTGCTTTAAATTAGTTAGGCCTGGAAATCTCTGCTGTATCCAGGTCATGAATCCTTGAGTTTGCCTGAGTCAAGATCTCTAAAAGATGAATGGACCAATTTGGGCAGCTAAAGGTGACATTGTCAATCTATGTCTCTGTCACCTTCACCTGACATATTGGGGGCTCATTCCTGTCTCCATCTGAAGCATCGTGGGTGAGTGTTCCAGAGTGTTGCTTGGTTGGATTGCCTTGCTATGTAAGGCTTACATGTTATCTTGGTTTCTTTGTTGTTGTTCTGGGTCTTGTTTGTTTGTTTTTCGAAGCAGGGTTTCTCTGTGTAGCCCTGGCTGTCCTGGAACTTGCTCTGTAGACCAGGCTGACCTCAAACTCAGAGATTCACCTGCCTCTGCCTCCTGAATGCTGGGATATTCTATTGGTTTCTTTGCTTTTGTTTTTCTGGACAAACCCCAGCGTTATTTATTTATTTATTATGTATATAGTGTTCTGCTTGTACACAAGAAGAGGACACCAGGACTCATTATGGATGGTTGTGAACCACCATGTGGTTGCTGGGAATTGAACTCAGGTCCTCTGGAAGAGCAGCCATTGCTGTTAACTGCTGAACCATCTTCTCTCACCCTGGACCCTAAAATCCTAAAGGTGCTCTCCATTCTCTCCTAGCCTCTTGTCTAAGGTGCTGCTACTCTGACCTGCACTGTTCCCTGTGAAGCAGGTACCCTCAGAGGAAAGAGCTCTTTCCTTTTCAATGCAACCTCACAGGTCTTCTTCACAGCTCCAAGTAGCAGGAACTCCAATGGCCTTCTCCTCAGGACTCTCATTAGGTGATGTTCTGAAGAAGAGGCTTCTAGAACTTCGAAGGTTCTTATTCTGTAAGAGGTTGAAGGCCTAGCTACTAGGTTGCCTGTATCTTTGAACATGGCACTGGCTAGACAGTGTCTTCCAATCCAGTAAGGGGAAGCCTACCAGGGGTGCTCGCAGACCAAATAACAGCCTGGGCGTTGGTGACCACAGCAGCTGGGTTAACAGTTGACACTGGATGACCTGCAGAGCCTGGTCTGGGAAGGGCTCCATAGTCTCCATTGGCACAGGACAGGCAGACGATGCCTGATCCAGCCATCTCTATTTTTACAACCCCGCCCCCTACTGTTCTAGACAGGCATACAAGCATGGGAAGTTGTTCAGCTCACCATTAGTTAAAAGAGTCAAAAGCTTTGGCCTAGGACTGGAGAGATGGCTCAGAGGTTAAGAGCACTTAGCTGCTCTCCCAGAGGCCCTGAGTTCAATTCCCAGCAACCACATGGTGGCTCACAACCATCTGTAATGTGATCTGGTGCCCTCTTCTGTCATGCAGGGGTACATGCAGGCAGCACACTGTATACATAATAAATAAATCTTAAAAAAAAAAAAAAAAGACAAAACTTTGGCCTAAAGTGACAGAGTGGAAGCCATTTCCATCTAGAAGTCATCTCCTCCTGTGCCATTCATCACTGGGACCAGGAGAAAGTCTTGCCTCCGTCCACACTACTAGCTTCAAGTTTCAAATGCATGCTTCAGTCTGGGTGTCCATCTGTACCTTAAGCCTTATCATTGGCCAACTTAGGCTCCAGGTCCATGTTTCTACGGTAAGTTCTCTACCAGGATTCTAGGAAAACTCATGTAATTTAAAAAGCACAGATTTGGGAGTAAGGATTGCTTCGGTGCTTTGCACATATCTCTGCACACATGTGTGTGTTCTGTCTATACGTGTTTATGTTTTTATACAGTTTCCTTGGTGCCAGACTGGCTTAGAAGTAAGTGGTGCTAACACAAATTAAAATTGCTAAATTAACCCAAATTCTTTCTAGTTCATAGTGGACCTGGAATTAAATTTTGTTTTGGGTTTATTTATTTTCATGTGTATGCGTGTTTTGCCCGAAAGCATGTATGTGTGCCCAGTGCGCACGGAGGTGGGAGGAGGGTATCAGGTCCCGTGGAGTAACACTTTTAAGACATTATGTAGGTGCTGGGAACTGAACCCCGGTCTTCTGCAGGAGCAGCCAGTGTTGATAACTGCTGACCATTGCTCCGGCTTGCGTGGGTGTAATTTTAAAGGGTGAATAAAAAAGGTCCGCTCCAACAGTCTCGGTGTGTCAGCTAAGGGAACAGGTAATCGGGAGCAGGTGTCGGGAGAGGAGATTTAGGTGTGTCTGTACTGGTGTGTGTGTGTGTGTGTGTGTGTGTGTGTGTGTGTGTGTGTCAGCGCACAGAGTGGCCCGAGGGTGTGTGTGTCTGCGTCGGC